CGAGTCGGGGGGCACAGCCGCCATCCCGCCGCCGCGTGTTTCCGGGACCGGGGCGGGGCGGGCCAATCAGCGCGCCCCGCCGCCGCGCGGCTATTGTGACGCAACAGAGGGAGAATTCGAATGCAGCCACGCCCCCCCGCTGGGTCGGGCCTGACCGGAGCGCGCGGAGCCGGTGAGCGGGGACCTGGGGGGGGGGGGAAAAACAAAAAAAAAAAAACGAGGGCCCGGCTCCCAGCTGCCCCCGTGCGGGCTCCCGCGGGCGGCTCCAAGGCCTCTTCTCCAGGGCCCCTGTGCCAGCTGGCAGAGCCGCAGCCTCTTCATTTAAAACGGGGACGAGCAGACCCCGGACTCGAGCTCCTGACCTGCTGCTTCGATCCTCCAACAGGGCTCGTACCAGGAGCAGGCCTGCGACAGCTTCCCCCCACTTTGACCTTTACCCAGAGGCTGCTAGAAGCCCCCCAGAACAAGGAGGACGAGAGGCAGGCAGTGGAAGGAAGCCTCCGAAGCGCAGGACCTGGGTCTCGTGTGGGGCCTGACCCGTCAGGACATCTGCGGGGAGGGAAACGGCTGTGCACGAAGCAGCCCAGCAGGGTCTTGGAGCGGGGCAGCGGGCTGGGGTAGCTTTGATCGTTTTAGTCTAGACAGGGGAGAGGCCAACTAAGGGGGAGGCTCTTCCCGACTTGCTGCTCACAGCCAGGGAGGAAGGTTGAGAAGGGAAACATGGGTGACGGTGGCTGGGAAGTGAGGTTCTCCAGGGAGGGGAGTGGCAGAAGGAAGATGCTGGACTTCAGGAAAGCAGACATAGGGACCTGGTGGACAGGATCCCTTAGGAGGCAAGTCCAGCCGGCTGTACTTCAAGGAGTCCCTTTTAAGGGCACAGGAGCAAGCTATCTGGGCTGGAAGGGACCTTGAAGATCAAGTCCAGCCCCCTGCCCCTGGGGCAGGAAGTCAGCTGGGGTCAAAGGATCCCAGCAAGGTAAGCATCCAAATGTTTCTTGAAAAAGTGTCCAGAGTAGATGCCTGCACCACTTCTGGAGGGAGTCTATTCCAGGTCCTGGGGGCTCGGACAGTAAAGAAATGTTTTCTTATGTCCAGCCCAAAATGGTCTTGGAGGAGTTTATGACCATTGGTCCTTGCTCTCCCTTGAGGCGCTCTGGTGAACAGATGTTCCCCCAGGTCCTGATGGACACCCCTTATGCAATGGCAGAATGGGAAAGCCAACAGGAGACCAGTCTGGCTAGACCACAGCCTCTTCAGCGAGTTGAAACTCAAGAGGGAAAAATGGAAGCTTGATCATAATACTAGGGAAGGGTAGAAAAGTATTGCATAAGCAGAAAATTAGGAAAGCCAAGGCATGATTTGAGAAGCAGCTGGCAAGGGACATAAGAGGCAATAAAAAGGGATTCTACAAGCATGTCAAGATCAAAGAAACTGTAGGTCCCTTACAGAATACAGAAGGCAACCTAGTTATGCAGGATGTGGAAAAAGCTAAAGTATTTAATGCCTTCTTTACAAATAGAGGCAGCTACCGGATGACAAGCAGAGTTGGCAGCAAAGATAAGGAAGGAGTCAAGCAGCCCAAGGTAATGGCAGAACAGGTAAGAAACTAGAGCCACAAGATAAGGATGCACTCTAGTGTAGTGGAGGAATTAGCTGAGGTAACTTCAGAGCCATTGACTATCCCCTGAGACCTCGTGGAGGTTGGGGGAGGTCCCAGATGACTGGAAAAGGACAAATATAGAAAAGACAGAAATTCAGCAGGGACAAGTTCAGAGTCCTTCAGTTGGGGTAGAATAAATTGCATGCATAGAATATAGACTGGGGAGTGACTGGCTAGGCTGCAGCAATGCAGAGAAGGACCTGGGGATTACAGTAAACCATAAGCTGAATATCAGCCAACAGCATGCTCTTGTAGCAAAAGCTAACTGGATTATATGAACTGGAGTGTCACTTGCAAATCAAAGGAAGTGATTCATCCACTCTATTCAGCATTGGGGAGGTCTTCCCTGGGGGGCTGTTCCCAAGTTTGGGGTCCCTCACTTCAAGAAAGATGTCTACAGCTTGGAAAGAGTCCAGAGCGGAGTGAAAAATTATTAGCGCCTAGGAAGCATGACTTATGAGAAAAGACTAGAAGAGCCTGGGTTACATAGTCTGGAGAAGAAGACAGAGGTGGCGATTGGATAACCGTTTTCAAATATTCAGAGGGCAAAGCTGGAGAGGATATAGATTGGCTTTTTTGTGGCCATAGGGGGCAGAACTGGAAGCAATAGGCTCAAGCTGCAGCAGAGGAAATTTAGTTGGAAGTTAGTCAGAAAGTTCCTCCTATGTGGGTGGTCAAGCATTGGACCAGGCACCTACAGCAGTTGTGGACTCTCCCTCCGTGGAACTTTTCAAGAGCCAGTTGAACACACTTGGCTGGGATGGTTTTGTCAGGGACAGTCCTGCCTGGAGCGGGAGGCTTGACTAGGTGTCCTCATGAGGTCCCTGCCATAAACCTAGAAATTTAACCTTTTTGCTGATATGCATGCTTTTCTCCTGTAGTGCTGGCAACCAGAATATACTAAAACATTTTGTGGTCCTTGGCTACTGTTCTCTTTAGGCTGCTTAACTTGAATTCGAGTACCATAGTCTCTAGCTTCTGCAGGTTGTACAACAATATTCATAAGATGGGGATATTTTTATCCCCTTATTTTATTCGGTCCATAAGCATTGATTTCCTGGCAAATTGACATGGTAGCACTTGATTGGGGAAAAAAAAAAAAATAAATTGACCAGAAGAATATGCATTGTTCTTCTATACCATCTATCTCAGGATCTCAAAGCACCCTGCATACATTATTACATTTGGTCTTGCAACACCCAAAAAAAGTAGGCAGAGAACTAGTGACTTCCCAAGGCCACACAAATGGTCTGTTGTGGAGCCAGAGAGAAGAAACTCTGCTTCTAGTTGTTATCTATATTTAATTTTTAAATTAGAACAGTGATATTTTGATAGTTTTAAAAAAGCCAAGACAGATTTTTCTTACATGATAAGGTTAAATTCATAGACTTTAAATTAGGTCAGTTCCCAAATCTCTACTCTGGTGAAAAGAAAGGAGGAAAATAAAATCAGAGTTTCTCATTCTGCTCCGAGTCATACAAAATAGCTGCCTCTTGTATGGACTGTTCAGAAGAGAGCTGCTCCTTCTGCACAATTACAAGTGGCAAAGAGCTGACTAAAGATGTTGGAAATAAAACTAGTCCAAGGAGGTATAGCAAATAATTGAAGAGGGATTAATAGGCACATGCAAGTGGTACTTCTTGCCCAGAGAAAGCATAAGTGTTTTATCCCTTCTTAGAAGGAATCCCTTACCTGTCAAAGGCTTAAGCTGGCTCTTGTGAAGAAAGATGTAGCAAGAGATGTGGCAGGAAAGAACAGAAAGCCAGTTAGAGAAGTTAGGGAAGAGCTGTGTAACAGACTGGCCTTTAGGGGTGGGTCTTAGTGCCAGCCACCTGCCAGTGCAGGGCTAAGCCTCTGCCTCACTCTCCTGCCACACCTTGATGGAATTAAATATGATTGCTGTTTCTAAGGTGGGAGGCTGCCCATTGCTCTCCCTCCTGATGCCAAGGGACTTGATACATGCTCCAACCTCCCCTTACACATGTCCTATACCTCGCCGATATTGATTCTCTCTCTGGTCTTTCTATACATGCAGTATTTCCATATTCACAATTCAGTAATTCTGCCCCTCATTAGAGCCACTCATCTTACCACCCTCAACTGGGCCATTTATGTACTGGCCACTTCACTGGGCCTTCTGCCCCTCCTCTGTGCCACTTCACTATCACGCAACCCCCTCTCTGGGCCTTCTACCCCCCCTTCTAGGGCCACACTCTCTCTGCCCCCTCACTGGGGTCTTCCACCCTGTGGGCTCCGGTGGCTGCCGCCATGCCTGGCCCCTAACACTGGGCACTGGCAGCCCCAATGCTGTGCTTACCTGGCCCCACTCTCCTCTGGTATCATAACCTGCCCTCAGGCAGGGGCTGGGGTTTTCAAGCACCCTTCCTCACCTGTCACCAGGGAGGCAAATGGCCTGGCATTTCTTGTGGACTCCCCTGCCACAGGGAGTCCCACCAAACCACCCTTCCTTGGCAGGGTGCAGTTTCAGGGCATACCCAGGACCAGGAGTCTTCTGCCACCCCCATAGCTCCTGCCCTTACCTCCAAGATGTTCCAGGAACAGCTCAGCCTGATGTTGCCTCTTGGCTTGCTCAGCTCAAACTGCTGCTTCTCTCGCTGTGGACCTGGGTTAAAAAGGAGACTGCTGTATACCCCCTCAGCCAATCCCAGGGCCCTCTTGGGGTCATGTGCTAGCCTTGATGAGGCTAGCACCCACCTGTGGGCTGCTTGACTGCCAACTTGAAACCTTAAAGTGGCAGGCACGGCAGGTGCCCTGTCACAAGCTGTTTCATATCATTCTTGACAAGATGGGGGATGTCAGAGCTTCTCTCTCCTTGAAAGCACAGAAGTGAATGATTTCTTTCTGTATGAGACTGCATGTAATTCCTGTAGAAAGCTTTCAAAGAGTAGATACACTAAGTCTAGAGGCTGAACGGAAATTATAGCTCTTAAAAACTAGAGAGAGTATTGTGTAAACACTCTACCAAACCAGGGTAAGATAGACTATGATTCCTTTTCCCTCCCTTTCACATATCATTGCTACAGCTGCTAAGGCCATTAGGGTTTGAACGTTTAAGAAATAGCTCTTAATGGCCAGAAAAGTGGTTAATCTGAAAACAGACCCTTTTAACTCCATCCATTTAGTTCCTACAACTTCATGTATCATATGCTGTCCCAAGAAAAGAACCCCTCTTAGCTCTACAAAGTGCACTGATTGAGGAGGAATCCAGCTGGCATTTTTGGCAGAAGGAGCAGCTAAGTCCCTGCTGCAGAATCTTTATCAGGAGGGTGAACAAGGAGGAAAGGAAACAGCTTGATTTTTGGAGCCAAGGTAGCACTTGCAGCTATGCTCACCCCTTTCTCTGTAAATTCTGCATGGCAGTCAGTCACGGGGGATTGTAAAGACCTGATCTTTAGGGAGACACTGGATGATCCTTCAGGTTCTTTCAGCTTTGATGCTTTGAAACTCTTAGTACCTGGACCCAAAGACAAAGACAATATGACAACCAGCTAACAGCTGGTTTGCCAACTGCTTTGAAGCTATCTTGACTGGCTTAAACTAGTGGCAACATCTTGCTACTGACCCTTCTTATCAAGCAAGTCAGCATGGGGGACCTTCATAAGTACAAGTTGGCTGTTACAAATCAGAACTCCTGGGCTCTTTTTCCAGCGTGAGCACAGGCGTGTTGACTGGATGGCACAGATGCATGGAAGCCTGCAACTATTTTGGGTCTGACTTATGAAAAACAAAGATACCTAGAAGCTTGGTTTGAGAGGTTTGACCTTTTGAGACCTCGCATTGTTGCCTTTTAATCTGAGGCTCTCAAAGCCCTCTGCACATATCAGTTCAGTGCCTCAGTTTCCTGGGAGATGCATCAGTCTCTCTATCCTCTTTTTTGCAGAGAAACTGAGGCACAGGGAGGTGCAGTGACTTACCCAAGGTCAGACAGCAAGGTGGGAGCAGAGCAAACATCCAGATTTACAGCTTCTTTCCATTCATCATGCCGTCCCACAAAACTTCCCATTGAGCCCAGATTTTCAGTTCTCTGTTTAAAGGGACATTGTCAAGTTGAAATCTAATCAACTTTTTTTTTAAATAAAGAAAGAGAAAGTTAAACGTACTGGGAGGTGCTAGTCCTGTATTGAATTGAGTGCTCGTCTTTGAGGCTTTCCAAGCAAACAATATTTTAAAGATTATTTTTCTCTTCACTAGTGTTGCCGCAGAATCCTTCTCCAGTCCCATCCAGGGCACACTGACAGACTGAGGCTGTGCTGCTGCACCTACGCGTGCAGGGAAGTCTGATCAATCACAGATGTAAAATTACTCGTGTGATTAAACATCTACCAGGTGCCGGTGTAGTAGGACCGGCCCAGAGCATGGCTGTGGCACCTTGTAGTGTCTTAGGTACCCCCCACCCTCAACTTTCTGCCTCACCTTGATAAATGCATCATAGTACTTAGGAAAGCTGCCTCAGGGCCCTACAGTGAGCTTCAGTTTACCCTCAGTCCGACTCATGCATTTGTGGCACTAGTTTTGCCTTAGGGCACTAAATCATGGCCCTCCTGGCACTATTCATGCCTTAGGATACAAATCACCATAAGGGAAATAATCGTGGCCTCCAGCTGCACCCATGCCCACAACCACACTTTGCAGATCTTTCTCTGTGTTTTTCAAGGCTCCTACTTCTCTAGGTTTTCAGCTACTGCACTGGTCCCTCTGACCCTGCCTCCCTGGCCTGGGCCCTAGGACTGCAGTCCCATAATGCAGGGTGCCTCCCTGGCATCCACCTTGACAGCACCCTTCCTGGGGCACCCAAACTTCACAGTTAAACATAAGGACAGACCCACCAGTCTCTAACTTAGAGCTCAAACCCCCACCTCAGGTCTCTACAGTGCTGCAAGTCTTTTCCTTACCAGCTGGGTCTTCCCTTAGCCTCCAGGGTGCCTTCCAGGGTGCACAGCCTTCTATCTAGCAGTCTGCTTTCAAGAGCAACATCCCCAGCAGCTGGGACCAGACTGCCTGCTTTGGTTTACATACTCCAAGAGCATACCCCTTCAGGTCAGGTGTTTCCCAACCCTGGTTTCTCCTTAGCCTTAATCTACTTGCTCCTCTTGCACCGTGGTCCCTACTTAACTACCCATCCAGAGCTTTGCCCTGTTGCAGTGCAACTTGCTCCCACATAGTTATCTGTGTTTCTGCTGCCTCCTTTGCTTCCTGTCTTGTACCTAGCTCTGCTCCAACTACTCAGTGACTGCTGCCCTCCTGTGTCACTCTTTTTCCCTTCAAGCAGCAGGGGAGAGGGGATGCTGCTGCAGTGGGCCTAAGCAAGGGAAGAGGAGAAAAAGTGAAACTCAAATGTACAAACTGGAAAAAAAAAAAAAAAGGGAGAAAAGCCAAGGTTTGTTCGCTGTTACTGATGCTCCTTTTCTTGTGGCAACAATCAGCAAAAAAATTCCCGTAAAGCTCCATCGTGAATTTGCTAGTGCCCATTAACCTACAGCAGTTCTTAATGGCATCGTGGGGTCTTAGCAGCTCTCTGCCAACAGACTTGGAGAGTTCTTACATGCAGCGCAGTCCCTACCTTCTCATTTTGATAATTGCCACCACTTTTTAAATTGTTATGCAAGAAGTAGAGCGGACAGGAAATAAGGCTAGAAATACCATAGCAATTGCTACATGTTAGCTATGAATATTGATATGCAATAGTAATGGGAACACTGTGACCTACTCTAGAAGAGGAAATTATTCTACATTAGCTTGCAGGACTTCCCAGGGGAACACCTTAGTCCAACTTTTATTGGGGTCATTGGGATGTTTATAAAGCACCTACAGTGCTTGAATTTAATGGGAGCAGTATAGGAACTCAACTCAATGGCTTCCCCACTAAGTGCATCTGAATACACACTAGGAAGATAGTGGGAGTGAGATGTTAGCTTCACAGATCTTGGATCCTTGTCTCCACTATGATGAAAACCTTGTGTTGCTAGGCTGGGAACTAGAGATTAAAAAAAAAAGAGGGGGGAGAGTTAAAGAGCATTTCTACACTGATTAAAGCTGCTTCAAGGCCGTGCCTGGGAGCTGGAGTTAGGTGATCTGAAGGGAGAACAACCACACACCAGAAGCGTGTATTTGCCTTCTATGTGGGGTTTGCAGCATGCTTAGCAGTTGAGGAGCAATTGTCTTTCATCCTGCTGCATCCCCCTGCCCTACCAGACTGAGCATCAGCAGTGTTCAAATTGCACGCTCCTATCCCAATGGGCCAGCCAGCCCAAAGCAGCACTTACCTCAAGCAAGGGACCTGCATTTGAACATGGTTTGGGGTGCATCTGCACCAAGGGGCTGCAGCACTTTGGTGTACCTTGAGATCCTTTCAAGGGCACCACACACTTTTACCACTCCTAGGTCTGCAAACACGATCCATGAGACAAACCCAGAGATTCCAAATAGGAATCCATGGTGTTAAAAACATTCTGACCTGTTTCCAAAAGGCTTTGATCTAGTATCCCATGATGTCCTCCCAAGAAAACTGGAGGATTGTGGACTTACCTACCTGACTGTCTCAGAGTTAAAAAACTGGCTGCAGTATAGGACCCAGAGAGTCATAGTGAATAGACCTGTGTCATCCTGACAAGAAGTAGGCAGCAGCGTCCTGCAGCGGTCAGTGCTCAGTCCAGTACTTTTCAACAAATTTATTAATGATTTGGATGTGGGGGTGAAGAGCTCACTGGCCAAGTTCACAGACAACACCAAGTTATGGGGAAGCGTGGTCATGCTTGAAGATAAGCTACAGTTACAGGTGGACCTAGACAGGATAGCAAGTTCAGAACCTGATGAAGCTCCACTTTGAGAAATGTAAAGTGCACCACCTTGGGACAAGCAACCCCCAACACACCTACAGCCTTGGCAGCACCAAACTGACCAGCACCATGAATGAAAGGGACCTGGGCGTAATAATAGACCACAGTATGAATATGAGCCAGCAGTGCGATGCTGTAGCCAGGAGGGCAAATAATACTCCAGCATGCATCAATCGATGCATCTCCAGGAAAAACAAGGAGGTGATTCTTCTGCTCTACTCAGCACTGGTGAGACCGCAGCTGGAGGACTGCGTCCAGTTCTGGGAGCCGCACTTTAACAAGGACATGGACAAGCTTGAGAGTCCAAAGAAGAGCCACCTGTATGATCACGGCAAGTCATATGAGGAAAGGCTGAGGGATCTGGGACTCTTCAGCCTGAAGAAAAAAAGGCTAAGAGGAGACCTGGTAGCAGCTTACCACTACACTACATCAAGGGCTCGGTGAGCAACTGTTCATCAGGGTACCTGAGGGGAAAACTAGGAGCAACGGCCTCAAACTCCTGGAAGATCGAACCAGGCTCAACTTAGGAAAACCTTCTTCACAGCTGGGGTGTCCAAACTGTGGAATAAGCTCCCTCCAGAGATGGTGCAATCATCTACCCTGGAAATCTTCAAGAGGAGACTGGACAGTTACCTTGTCTTGCTGGAGTCATCTGACCCCAGTTATCTTTCCTGCTTGGTGCAGGGGGCTGGGCTCGATGATCTTCCAAGGCCCCTTCCGGCCTTACAATCTATGAAACAACAAAAAACACTGCTCTATAATTTTTCCATAGTCAAAAAGTGAGTGAAAGGAAAGAGCAGGTTCTGAGGGGTGCCTTGAGTCGAGGTGTTTTGAGCCTAAAAAGGTTGAGAACCAGTGGTCTATCTACAGCGTCATTATGGCAGTGACTGCAGCTCATCCCCAGGCTGGTTTGAAATCATCCAGCTGAGATATTACTGGCAATGTAGCCTTGTGGCACATAGCTGCAAAAGGCCCTGACAAGCAGGGCAAGTTTTTGGTACTTAATCTGCAGCGGTCCTGCACTGCTGCAGCTACACGGCTCCTAGTATCTGAGCTAGGTAGGTTAAAGGTATCCTGTATGTATCTACATGAGGTGCAGGTATAGCAGCGTCTGCTGTATAGGCACCCAAATGAACTAACATTGGATGAGCCCAAAAAACCCACTCCAAGAGGGAGTTGTGGGGCTGGACTGGGCAATTCTCAGTAGCCATCTTGGCAAACTGGTTGATATAGACCCGTTTTGTGCAGGAATCAGAAGGAATGGGACTTTCTCCGATCCAGAGGAATCCATTGTTTCATATTGGATTACCACGGTTGTTGCCCAGAGGGATCAGCATTGCAGTCTGAGCTTAAGTCCTGCCAAATCAGGTGATCACAGTGAAAACTCAAGCAGCTGCCATCTCGTACCCAGTCTGGGACTGGGGGAATCGTGTGCTCTTCCCAGGGAGGAGATGACAGCCCAGCTATAAGGAGGCAGTGTTCGAACAGCAGGAGGAGTTGGGAATACAGTTAGCTGAGTAACTAACACCTATAAGGATAGGCTTGTTCTTGGTTTGGATCAGCTGTGACAGTACAAAAAAAGATCTTTGCCATCTGCTTAGGGCAAGAGCATTGATTTAATTAACACTTTCCTGCATTTTGCTTTTAGATCAACCCTGGCCTGTTTTCACTGTGATGCTTCCTGAGAAGATGGAGACATCCAGAGAGGAAGGTAAGGGATTCAAGTGGGGTTGTGCGTTTTGCACTGATTTATGCTTGACACCACGCGTGGAAACAAGAAGTCTCTTCTGCATTTACTCCATTTTGTTCCATTCCGAGAACCAAACCCTGGAGCTTTCTTTGTGCCATTAGATTGGGGATGCTGAGTTTGCCTGAATTAGTTTTAATCACCTGCTAACCACCTAAACACCAACTAACTCAAGCTACATGCATGCCTTGGAAATCCTCATCGCCATTTTCCCTTCTCACCCCACAGTGCAGATCACGTTCCCCTTTAGGAAGGGCAGCCTGTGTACTCAGGTACATATGCCATCTTCAATGCTTAGGGAAAAACAGGGTATGGGGAGGACTAATAGACAACCAAAGATATGAGCAGCTGTGATTAAAATGCACCTGTCTGTGAAGGGCTCTTTAACGTAGATGGACCCTGGACCCCAATTCAGTTTTCCCATTAGACAGGTAGAGAGCACCTATGCAGCTAAGCTGTGTGTGTTCAGGGCATTTTAGGCTACTTATGGGGCTTCTAGACACCCGTGCCTCCACAGGGAAGAGAGAACACCAAATCGCCAACCACAAAAAAAAGGAGAACAACAGGCCCCTCCTATTTTTAACCCAATTGCCTAGTGGACCTACAGATCACCTTTCCTTTAAGCGGACTTGTGTCTACTCAGCCCTTCCAGAAACCAGGTGCAAATCCTTAGCTAATGTATATCAATACAACTCCGCTGAAGTCAGTGTTGTTACACTCACCCATACTATTGGCAAATCTAGTCCCATGGCCGTCAAATCTCTCCTTTCCTTAATTCTCCATCTGCAAATTGGTAATGCAGCTGGATTATGAGGCTGAATTATTGAATTCTTGAGGCACTCGATAGTGTAACGTGTTGGGGTGTGCAGCGGTTTTGCTAGAATACTGCCTCACGAGCCATGAAAGGTGCCCAGACAGCAAGATGGGGGCAGCAGATCAATTCCAGCACAAGTAATGGCATCCTGTTTCTTTACAGAGATACAGTTTATAACTGATGAGAAATTTGACTTTGGTCAGCTCTCCCCTTCCGACAGGTAAGACAGATGGGCCGCATCCTCAGCTGGTGTAAATTGACCTGGCCTCGTTGCAGCCAATAGAACTGTGCTGATTTAAGCCAGTTGAGGGTCTACCCCACGATCCTTTTCCCCCTACTGTTTTTTTGCTCCTTGCACACATGAAAGTCCTCCCAGGTTTGTGCTTATGCCAAGAAGTGCCAGGAAACTGGATTGACTAATGGGCGATCAAACATGTTCCACATTAGCTGTGTGTTACTCCTGCTCTGTTCCCCCAGGGGCTGGTGGGGAAGGGGAACTACAGGATCAGGGGGAGACAGTTCACTGGGTTTGGGTTGCTTTAATATAAGTTTACCCCCCTCCTGTTCCTCCTCCCCACCAAAAAGAGAGTCCCCAGGCTTTATATCATGAAATGGATGTAGGGCAGGGACTGGCAGAGTCCAGCCCACTGGCCAGATTAGGCCCACGGTGGACTCCATTTCCCAGCAGCCCCTGCCCATGTCACTGGAGCCAGTTTCCATGGAGACTGGCCCCAGCCGCGCTGGCAGTGTGGGCAGCCGGGCAGGAAGCTGCGCCAGGGCCAGGATCTTGCGGTGGCGACTTCATGGTCCAGAGCCAGGGCAGAGCCACAATCTGCTGCCTGCACACACCTCCCTCGCCTTCCCACTCGATAGCTCCTGCCACCCCACCTTTGCTGGCAAGATGACAAATCTTTGTGGACTGGATCCAGCCAACAGGCTACAGGTTGCTAATCCCTGCTTATGGTGCCTGATCCTGCCAGCATAAATACAAACCACTTCTCTTCATGAGAACCAGTCATGTTATTATTAAAGTTTATTAAAGAGGCCATCCTTAATGGACTGGCCGACGTCAACATCTTAAGGGATAGCCAGCACGGGTTTGTTGCGGGTAGGTCTTGCTTGACCAATCTCATTTCCTTCTATGACCAGGTGACCTATCACCTGGACAAGAGAGAAGAGATTGATGTCATATATCTTGACTTCAAAAAAGCCTTCGATCTGGTGTCCCATGATCGCCTCTTGGAGAAACTGGCCAGTTGTCGCCTTGGGTCCTCCACGATCCACTGGCTGGAAAATTGGCTCCGGGGTCGGACCCAGAGGGTAGTAATCGATGGAAGTCACTCATCGTGGTGTCCTGTGACCATTGGGGTCCCCCAAGGCACTGTCCTTGGACCCATACTGTTCAACATCTTCATTAATGATGTGGACACTGGAGTCAGAAGCGGACTGGCCAAGTTCGCCGATGACACCAAACTTTGGGGAAAAGCATCCACACCAGAAGACAGGCAGGTTATCCAGGCTGACCTGGACAGGCTCAGCAAGTGGGCGGACGAGAATCTGATGGTGTTCAACGCCGATAAATGCAAGGTTCTCCACCTTGGGGAAAAAAAACCCGCAGCATCCTTATAGGCTCGGCAGTGCTATGTTGGCTAGCACTATGGAAGAAAGAGACTTGGGGGTCATCATTGACCACAAGATGAACATGAGCCTGCAATGCGATGCGGCGGCTAGTAAAGCGACCAAAACGCTGGCTTGCATCCATAGATGCTTCTCAAGCAAATCCCGGGACGTCATTCTCCCCCTGTACTCGGCCTTAGTGAGGCCGCAGCTGGAGTACTGCGTCCAGTTTTGGGCTCCACAATTCAAAAAGGATGTGGAGAAGCTTGAGAGAGTCCAGAGAAGAGCCACGCGCACGATCAGAGGTCAGGGAAGCAGACCCTACGATGACAGGCTGAGAGCCCTGGGGCTCTTTAGCCTGGAAAAGCGCAGGCTCAGGGGTGATCTGATGGCCACCTACAAGTTTATCAGGGGTGACCACCAGCGTCTGGGGGAACGTTTGTTCACCAGAGCGCCCCAAGGGATGACGACTAGGTCGAATGGTCACAAACTACTTCAAGATCGTTTCAGGCTGGACATAAGGAAGAACTTCTTTACTGTCCGAGCCCCCAAGGTCTGGACCAGCCTGGCACCGGAGGTGGTTCAAGCGCCTTCATTGAACACCTTCAAGATGAAACTGGATGCTTATCTTGCTGGGATCCTATGACCCCAGCTGACTTCCTGCCCTTTGGGTGGGGGGCTGGACTCGATGATCTTCCGAGGTCCCTTCCAGCCCTGATGTCTATGAAATCTATGAATTAGTAAAGTGACTTCTGAGCCTGGGCTCAGGATCAGGTCTTCAAGTCCTGAATCTGATCGGTTGCTGCAGGCAGGCCTGTAACACCTGTCAGATCAGACGTGTGTATGGGAGCCAAAGGACACATCAGATCCCAGCAGGCATTTTAAACCTGTGGAGGGGAGTCAGGCAGGTTATAACTAGCTCCAATTGGCACTCCACTGGGCTGTAACCAAGTCAAATCCACAAAGGTATAAAATACCTTCCTGCCCCTGCCTGCAGAATAAACCTTGCGAATTTGCATGCTGGAGGATGGGGACCGTCCCCTTCACCCAGGTGCTGGTAACATTTGGGTCTCACCTCTGCAGCCGGGAGGAAGAATGCCTCGGTGCGGAGGAAAAGGAGGGAGTCTTTGCCGGACCTGTCCAGCAGGTTGAAAGATTCGTGGCGCAAAGAATTGACCCGAATGTTGTGAAGGAGGAGGGCATTGGCCCCAGAAGAGAGCACCAGCTGAACTGGAGCCCACTGAGCCCTGAGAAGTTGGAGGAGATTGTGAAGGAGGCCAACTGGCTGGCCACGCAGCTGGAGGGGTGCCACCTGCCGAAGGAGAATGCGCGTGCCTCACCCCGGGAGGAGACAGAGCTGAGCCTTGGCGGGGAGCCCCGAGCCCCCATCAGGTTCTTGTCCAAGGAGCGGGAGAGTCCCAGAAGCCCCCGGCGCGAGACCTTCGTGGTGAAGAACAGTCCTGTCAGGGCGCTGCTGCCAACAGTGGAGCTGGGGACGCTCCTCTCAAAAGGGAAGAGCCCTTCTCCCCGCACCGCCGTGGCACCAGCTCATGCCCGGCTCCGACACAGAGCGGGCAGCCGCCTGGCTGGGGGTGAAAGGCCCTGGAAGGAATCGACCCCCAGCAAGGCGCAGCCCCCACAGAGACTGGCCGGCAGTAAAAAGGTAGATTAGCCACTGGGAGGGGATGTCTCTAGGCCTGCTAATTGCTCTCCCTCGTCTTAGTGCAGGTGGCTTAATTTGGAAACCAGCCCCTTCCCTTTTCCCTTCTGGAAAGCAGAACTTCTCTCCCCACCTTTCCACCAAGCTGCTGCTCCCCCCACTTTCCTTGGCTCCCCAGCAAGTAGGGCCAGTGCCTCCCTGCTGTTGCTCAGAGCTCCTTTAGTGTGGAATGGACCTGGTGCCCATCAGCTTTCTGCTGCACACACTTTCCTCTTGCAACTGCAAAACCAACCAGCAGCTACTCATTTCAAAGTGCAGCTGCTTGGGAAAGAGCTCTGAGCAGCAGCACAGCCTGGGGCAGATGGGGCGACTTCCAGGTGCTTCATCCTCACAGCTGTATGAGCAAGAAACTCTGACTTAAGGAGAAAAAGGCCTAAATTCTGCCTGAACCGTTGGCTTTTGGCCCAGCACTGTCTGTCTGCCAGGGTGGGTCATTGAATGGATTTTCAAACCATGATTTAGCCACTTTGCAGAGTGGCTTTGTTCTCAGTTCCCCTCCCTCAGAGAGAGGAATCCATTCTCTTTGTGTGAATTCCCTCCTCTTGGTGAAATCTGGAAGCTCAAATACACCCAAATGCTCAACTCCAACTGCCCCAGGGCTTAACAGTCAGGACATGGAGCCCAACAAAGCCTGCCACAGAGCAGGCCTTTGAAGCCACTGGCAGCATATCTGCTTGAATCATTTAAATGAGCAAAGCCTGAGGAGCAAACTCCCATTTCACTTGGTCCAGTTATAGGCTGACCTCACTTTACCAATTCTCGCTGCATTAGCCGAGCTTCCAGGACAACCCCAATAGACGCACATCGCCTTCAATAAGAGTGAAAGAAGCAAGAGGACCCAGGTCATCGCCCACCCAGCCCCGTCTCAAGCAGGAGCTTTCCTCACCCAGAGGGAAAGCAGAGTCCCTGCAAATTGTTAATACAGGTAACCAGGCTTCCAAGGCCAGGCTCCATGGGGTGGGGAGAAATGGTCTGCCTCTTGAGCAGGGCACATTTTGTCCTCTGCACCCCCAATGAGCTGCAGAGGCATGTTCTGCATCCCCTAGCATTGAGTAGCACAAGTGGCCTGGGCAGCCTTTGCATGTGATATGTGGCAGATGAGGGAGGGAGCAAGGAACATGGTGGCAGATCAGGCAGGGGGCAGAGAGCAGAGCAACAAATTGAGCAGAGGAAGGGGATCAGAAGCACTCAGAGGACACAGGGCTTAATTTGTGGCATGCCTGCCAAAGATTACCCCCAGCACCTTAGCATACTGATGGTGTTGGGGGCTGGGTGGAGTGAAGCCTCCCTTTCACCCCCACAGACTTC